AAAACCAGGAGAAATCCTACAGTGAGTCTGCCGTGACCACTGCTCCCGTGTGCGAACTTGCCACATTAATGTTCATGTCAATTCACACGTGCATTTACATACATGTACTTTGACTTATTAACTAATAAGCCAGAATTGATATGAATTGATTATGTCACAATGTTGTTTGCCCGTTGCCCCATCTGCCGTTACATAGTTTGTGCTGAGTCGCGGCGTTGTATTCCCTTTAACGTAACAGAGTTTGGTCAGTACTGCATATAGATAGTCTTTTTGCATTATCTAATATATCTTAAGGAATGGATTGCGCCCTCTAGGAGATATATTGCATATGTAGTATTGCTCTACAGGTAAAGTACTCGCTAGTAGAATCAGCAAACACTTGTTGGGGGGGGGGAAGGTAATTTAGGGCTATTAGGTTTGTATTTTCACCATTCATTGTTTTGGTTTTTGTTTATACATTGTGGGTAAGCTTTACTGTAACTTGTGGAAGAATGCTCTGTACAACATTTCCATCAGTGTTTGTTATTATAGGCCAAAAAAAGGTCTCCGGTTTCTGGTATGGAGCTTGCCTTAGGGTGCAAGAAGTGCAACGACGCGGCTCTTTTTTTTTTCCTTTTTTCTTTTTTCCTTTTTTCCTTCAAATGTCGGCTGATGACTGCAAATGGTGCCCAACTAAAATTAGTGCAAAATGTATTCGAGCCCAGAGAGGCCACATAAAGCTTATACTTGATCGTAACCCCATCTAAAATCACGTTAAAATTGTGCAACAGCAGGATTCCAGTCAAACCAGTGAGTTTGGCGGTTTTGAGACATCATCTTACATTGAAAAAAAAACTTTTTAATTTTGCCGACGCGCATGGCTATGGCGACACGGGCTCATACCAGAAACCGGAGACTTTTTTTAGGGGGGCCATAAGTCATTAGAATTTTGTGTATGCACATTGAAAATGAATTCATAAGAATTGAAGGTGATTTATGTTTTTAGACTTCAAACTCACTCCCGGTTTGTGGAGAAGTTGTTCATTAATATGTCAAAAGATGAACAAATTCTCCACAAACCTGTGGGAAGTTTCAAGTACTTTATTTTCTTGCATCCTTTGACTTCACATGATGGATCAAGTTGAGCTTTTTGCAGTATGCAGATTCATATGATGTAATAATTTCATTCTATCTGATCCTGTTACATATTTTTTGGAAAACTAGAAGTAAACCATAAAAATGATTTCCCTCATTTTGCATTAGACAAGCTGGTCATGGGTTGGAGAAAGGAGAGATCCATGCAGAAAGAGTCATCTGGCAGAGATCACATCCTCCTTGACGATATTACTGATCTGAAGAAACGCACTGACAAGCGAGAACAAAAAATAGCAGACATCACTGAAAAGCTGCACAATGAATTAGTTGTTCTTGGTCAATTCCTGACTGATGTTGCTCAAAGGAGACCTCAGAGTAAGCAAACAATTTGTTGACCAAATGGAAAAAAATAATGAAACTTCAAAATGTCAGATATTTACCATGACTCTGAATGTGATCCATGTATACACAAGCATATTATGTCCAAAAACTGTGCACATTTTTCCAGTGAACTTTGAAGCATATTGCCTGAGGTTAATTTCGACTTTCAAATGCCAGCAAACAATCAAATATAAACCCAATTATTCATTAGATGGAATTTGCGTCAGGGTAATGTAAATTCAATATGCCCTTCACCGATGACGTCGGTGAAAGGCAGAACGCATATTTAACATATTTGAACATTAAGCCCGGTCCATACTTCATGCGAAGCGAATTGACGTCATGAAACATTCGCTGCGAAATTCGCCCAGGTTGAAATTTGTTCAACTTTTACGAATTCGCAGCGTGAATACTCCCCTTGACGTCACAAATTCGCATTCGCTTCGCTTTCGCGCCAAGTATGAATCAGGCTTTAGAAGTATAAACATGTAAGTGCTAAGTACCTATTATTTCCTAGTGAATGAGGCTACTGGAAGGACACAATAGGGGTTGGGATTACAAAAGAGTAAAAGTGCTTTTGCTTTTATTTTGGGTGATCGTGGTGAATACTGGTTGAACCTGAGGGTGGTGGAGGAGGGCCTCGAAGTTGCTCCTGAAAAACGTTAAGGCAGTTGTCAAATTGTGACAGCCTAGTTGGGACAGATACAAGCCGTCCTGCCAGTAGGCACAATGTTTGCTCGGGTTGATGGTATTCGAGTGAACTATTGCATGGGCATTACCCGTGTGTTTACAAAACCTATGCGTGTATATGTTGAGTGCATTTATATTCCTCTTCCCAACTCCTGGACACTCTTCCCTGTAATAGAAGAGGCACAGGAGGATATCTTACCACATGATAACGGTGTAGGGGAGCAAGTACCATATAGGCCCCGGAGGCCCTCTTCCATTCTTCCACTGAATTTGTTCATTGTTGTTGTTGAGAACAAAAATAATAACTGCCTAGATGGATAACAATCATGTTGGGATATGGTGCACGGCGCAGTTGGGGTTGGACGTAGGGGACCAAAGAGGTGATCTTCTCCCCCGGACACCCAAGCCATGTAAGGATCCCTAGTGATGGGAGCTGAACCATGTGCATAGCTGCCAACTATTACAAATTTTTCGTAATTGTTACATGTTTTTTGTTAAATTATGAAAATACGAATTGCCACTAAAAAATTACGAATTTCCCATTTTCTACGGAAAAAAAAATACTTGTTAGGTATCGTTTTTTGCCCGAAAACTTCTGGTGAAATGTAGGCCCTAATTTACGATAAAGGATGGACTGGTGACACAAGTCTAATAAGCAATGCGGTCAGGCACCTGATAGACATCAATGTGGTGTGGAATACTTGAGTACCAGACTAAAACTATTTTTCAATGGTGTGTGCTACTGCGTGTGTGTTGCAACGTTTTTATCGCATGTGGATGTACAATGTGTACTGACTACTTTTCAATGACGATCGTGAGCACATTGGTCACTTGTTGCTGGGATGAGATCCATCAGTGCGAGATTTTGATCATGGAATTTAATAAGAGTATGGTTGGAAGAATTGTATCACAACGTCCAGAAAAGATAAATCAGCATTTGTTTGCAAGGTATGTTGGCGGGATATTTCTATCGTGTAGGGTGGCCCTAAATGTATGTAAAAACATACAAACTCGAAACTCAACATTGATAGAATGCATCTCAGAAATATATGCGCACATGTTATTATTTATTTGACTTCAACAAACAAATACAGACAGTAAAAAAAAAATAAAAAAAAAAAAAAAATCAATTATTTTTCTTTTAATTAATTCTAATGATCCTATGGCCTACAGTGCATTATTAATCACAACAAGAAGGTATGCACATGTATGTGTACGTGTAAACCATGTACCTATGTGTGATGTTGGTAAAGCTGGTACATACACTGTTAATGTAAACGCAGTTGAAAATGACCGCTCGGGTTGATTACTTACTTGATTTTGAAAAGTTGGCAGCTATGCATGTGGTCCGCCGCTCGATAAACGATGCTATCACCCACCACTCATATGCGGAGTGTACCTGTGAATAAAGCACAAAACTCGCCCAAGGGCCTGAATCTGGGGCAAGGGGGTTGCTTTTAAGGGCAGCCAAAGTAGCAGCGCCAATGCGAAAGCTGTGGGTGTTGAAGCCTGTGGATAGGATTCCCAGGACCCCCAAAGATTTGGTTAGCATTTGGCCAGGCTGGTAAGTTGTGAGGAGGGTGACATCAATGTGAAAGAAGAGGGGCCTGGTTGAGGGGGGCGGAGCCGTAATTGTTGGAAACCCAGACGACGGGGCAAATATATTTTGGGATGGCCCTTTATTGGGCAGCAGCTCAGTGGAAGCACTGCATTGGTCAGTTTTGGAAAATCTACCCTTCACGACCAGCAGGGGCATGTCGGGCACGGAGGTTCAGAATCTTTGAGTGATCGCAGGATTTAGTGGCTTCTGTAAATTCCCCTACTCGCAAGCACAAAAAAAAAACAAAAAAACTAAGATAAATGCTGCACGGAACAGGGTGGTCTAAAGGTCTGATTATGTAATTGTTTGTAAAATGTAACATATTTGCCCGGGCAGATCTGCTGTGATGGGGCATCTGGGGTCAGAGCTCAGGCCCTGCCGGCGGCAAACTTTCCTGATCTTTTTTATCAGAAATGAATCAGTGAGGTCGGGCCAGCCATTGATTATTTGTGTGTAGGCAACTGCCGCGGTATACGTACCAATTGTGGAGGGGGCTAGTTCCATGGATAGATGTGCAATGAATGCAGCTACTTGGAGCAGGCCACATTGGGGGAGTTTGTTTTAGAGCTGGAATTGGTTGAACCACTCTGCACCCTTCCCGTATGCCTCCCAGGTGCCACTTACAAAAGATGTAGTGCTTTTAAGTTTAAAGCTTCCATGGGAACTCTGGGACTTCCGACCCGGGAGGGGTAGCTTAGGGGCCAATTGTCTAAATTAGGCATTTGCGAACGAAAGAGCGCGTCAGCAATGTTAATATGAATGCCCGGAATGTGACTGGCTTTGAAATTATTGTTGTCGCAGAGGCACTGTTGAAAAAAGAATCTGATTTCATGATTTCGCAGCAGTTGAATGACTGCTAATATTATAATGGACACCACTGCTGCATTTTCTAAACGTATTAGAACTTGTTTGCCGGAAAGGGCCTGAGCTACTACTACAGGAAAGTATCCCCAAAAGCACGTCCCCCCACTGGCAGTGGTAAAAAGCTGAAGGTCTTCATTTAGTAACCAATTGTTCTGCTATTAAAGTTTAGAGGGAAAACCTGCCACATTTGCAGGTCCTCCTTCCCACCTTTGGGGAGTCTGATTTTGTGCAATTGCTGTTTCATGCCTTTGATGGCATCGATGAGCCTCCTGAGGGAGGCTTGCCCAGGAGGTTCTTCACGACACACAAAGGATATTGATCCAATGGGAGATTGAAGAGACGTGAGGGGTTAGCTTGGGTGTGAGGAGTGCGTCTTTTGCGTCAATAGACCTGAGATAATATGCAGGGATTGTTACTGTTTGGGAGACGGAATCTATCTGTTTTCCCGGGAATGTCAACTGGTAGGGTGGACCATTTTTCTTTTGCGAGAGGAACCCCAAATTCCTTACATATTGTGAAAAAAATCCGAGTGCTGTGACAAGATGGGGAACCGCCCGTAGCCGGTCCCCAAATCGTCCACGTAGGCATACATGTCCCGACCCTGCACACCAGTGGCACACCCAAGGGGGCTCGGGGGGGGGGGGGGCTTAGAGGTTGTCTTTTTTTTTTTTTAGTCCGACTTTTACCTTGGTGGTATGTATGTGGCCTATTTTCAAGTAGAATAATAGGGGTGTAAGTGGCGCCACCAACATCAAAATAGTCGGCCCATTAAAAAAAATGGATTGGATTGGTAAAAGACGGAATGCAAATTGAATGTCTACTTTTGCCAAAAGGGCCCCCTTACCAGATATAATTACTAAGCTAAAACTGCATGTCAAAGTTGGAGTACTGACCTGAACAAAAGTTCCGTCAGTCCCATCATTTACCGAGTCTGATTCAGGGTAGGAGAGATGGTGAATCAATCTGTAACTACCTGGCTCTGCTTTGGGAACTAGCCCAATGGGAGAGATTCAAATGTTTTTAATGGGGGTCTCCTGCAATGGGCCTGCCATGCGCCCCCAGTTTGACTTCTTTTTCTAGTTCTTCTAATTTCTCACTAGTCCATGCACCATCACGTGTCAGCCGCTAGTTTTGCTATTTACCAAGCACGCTCTTGGGATTTCACGCACAGGTTAAATACGCATGCTTAGTAGACTATCGCACTGGTTACTAGATCGTTAGTCTACTGCGCCTGCACCTTACATATTGTATACTATTATACAAATAACGAATGTTTGTGAGTGCGATGGTAAGAATAATTTCATGAGGTGACAGATTGAATGTTCTATTCCACGAGGCGAAGCCGAGTGGAATGGAACATTCAATCTGTCACCGAATGAAATTATTCTTTCCATCGCACGAACGTAAAACATTCGTTATTTGTTTTTTATAAACACCTGAATAAATTCTCGTCATTTGATTGGTAAATTATAAACTACAATTTATTTTGATTTTAAAGATGTTGAACTACCCCTTCACGAAAATGTTTGAACCCAACGCTGTAGCGCTGGCTCTTTAGAACAATACGCGCTACGCTGAACGCGCACACCAGCATGCATTTGCACGCAAATACCGCGTCATGGAACAAGCGCAAAGTTAAACGGTATAACGCATGGGTATAACGCATGGTCGCACCGTGCATTATACCGAATAATAATATGTCACGTGATCTACAGTTCACCAATCAGATGACGGGGATTTATTCAGGTGTTGTATAAAAAATTATAACACACCTCTTGCTTGCTCTTTATCCGGGTTGGCTGAAACATGGTCACGTGTGATTCACTAATATAGGCTAGTGTATGAAACTTGGGTCAGCATGATCTAGAGGCGCGTCGAGACATTGCACGCGCGTAACATCCAGAGTATAGTGCCCGATCGGGCACTATACTCAAAACTTTTGACTGGTAACAGCGCCCTCTGAAAAAACTCAAACTCAAAAATTTAATCTAAAGAAACTTAAAACGTTCCTTTAATTGTTGAAATTTAATTGTTAATTGTTGAAATTAGTTCAATAAACAGTTCAATAATAAAACCCTGAAAGGTTTCTTTTCTTATTTTAGATTTAGGAAAGAGGTGAGTTATTATACAAATATTGAATGCTTCGAGTGGTGTAGTACTTTGGTTGCTAATGGTATAGTACTTTGGTTGCTATGGGTATAGTACTTTTGGCCGTGCAAAGAAAGATAGCAAAATTAGAAAGTAACATGTGACTCGCTCTCGGCCAATCAAGACACAGAATCTGTGGGTGAGGTGTTATAAAAAAACACATATGGACTGGCTTAATTCGATCACTAGTGCACATCTCTGCCCCCTCGGGTCTGTGAGTGACCAGAAGAGGGTCCTATTTTCGGCATTGGGAAATAGGACCCTCTTCTGGTCACTCACGCTGGGGCACATAGACTTGCACTAGTGACCTCATTGCCAGTCTATATGTGTACATACTATAAACTAGCTGATTCATTCCCTAATGGGGAATGAAAATAGAGCAATTTCATTGTTTTGTTGGTTTTTTTTTTAACATGTGTGTCTTTGTCATGCCAGTTTGAACTTAAACATTGTATTTCTCAGTACTGAATTGCTATGCATTTCAATTAATTTTCTGTTTCCTCAACTTAAAGTTGAGACAACAGACATACTCTGCAGAAACCTCCATTGTTAAAGGGTACTGATGATTTATTCTTTTAGATACAAGCCATGGAAGCAAGTCCTTTACAGACCCCAGACCACCTACAGTTTTGAAGAACTACCTGGAATCCTGCAGAACACTATCACTGCATTCTCCCCATTCAACATTTCAGGAAAATGCTGGGGATTGAAATTTCTGAATGAGTTATACATGTAATTTAAAGCCAGCCACACATGAGAGTTACATGTACGCGCTTAGCTAAAACGATTAACTAGCCAATGAAAGCACATTATTCTTGTTTGTCGGTCCGGTGATTAAAAAAAGGACAAACACAGAAGGCTTTGGATGATTTGCACAAAAATATACACATTTACAGAGTTTGTGATTTCATTGGCTTGTTAATTTTTTTAGCTCAGCGCGTAGCTCAGGTTGACCGCACATGGTGAGTATTTTGTGAGCTGCGTGCTAAGCAAATTGCCTCGAATGACTTATTGCTCAGCATGTAGCTCTCGTGTGCGGCGGGCTTAAGGTGATAATTGTCAGTGTAGCATCATTACAACTACTGTTATTTAATGATTACAGATTGCATTCAGGTAATAAAGATCAAGAGAGTCAAGTCGATCACAAGTCAAGTCACTAATCTCTAGTCAAGCAACAGCCCCTTAAATTCACTACAACGATGACATTCCTTTGTCATTGTTCATCTTCTTTTACCTGACTTTTATTGATTCCTGGCTCTGCTTTCTAAAAAAAGGTTAGAATTATGGATTTTGACTATGGCAAGAATAAAACTTTTGCTAAGCATGTGCCATATGAAGTGCACAGATTCAATTCAACAACAAAAGGGAATGGCCAAAAACAAGCAAAGGCAAAGAAGTTAACAGCAATTGGAATTGGACAGTTGTGTGTTATATTTTATATTTTGATCTCAAAAGCAATATACATGTATGATCCAGTTGAATAAAAGCCAAAAGATTATATTTAATTCTTTGGTAACTGAGGTGCTTGAAACCACCCTACAGTGAGTAATAAGTCACTATGTAGTGCCTGAAACCGCCCAGCACTCAATGGTTTTATTAATTGTTCAGTGAATAAACACATTACAATGTAAATAAATATAAGGTTTTGCCCTACACAGACTTATAAACACTGTTTACACAGTGTGTTACCTTCTGAGTGAAAGTTGGAAAAAAAATCACTCGGTCGGGACTCAAACGCACGACTTCCTGCCTTCTAGTGCAGACGCCCCACCACTCAACCACCGAGCTAACGGGATTGGTTGGCTGGTTCGAACCCGATGTACAAAGCAGCGGGTACCACATTTAAATATTCACAAAGAATAGTTACACATTACAATGTAGTACAAGTGGTAATGGGTTAAATGATTAAACACATATGACCAAAAAAAAGTTTGAGTGAACATTCAATTAAAATATAAGATATTTCATTATGCATTTGTCCAGTACTTGACTTTGTCTTAAGTAGTGCAGAGAATGTAATACAACGTATTCCTTTTTTTTGGTATTATCCCTCTTGCTGTAAGTCAAAGGGGGATATTGCGATAGCGTATTCCTTGTGTGTGTATAGATGCATTTGTTTATGATGTAAGTCGAGGACACACACCTGCAACATCATCAGTGAATCAAGGTCAGAAACCGAATTGAGGACTCTTTGGTTGGAAAACATTTACAAAACCAATGAGAGCTTTTGCAAAAAGTTGAGGTACAAACAAAGGAAAAGGGAAGACGAACAAAAGCAAATCCTTGATTTACACCATAAACAAACAGGTTTTATTTTTGTACCGAGACACACAAATAGTCCGGTCAATTTATGACAAAACAGGCCTTGACCTAGAACAAATTGCAATAGAATTTATTCTAACACTCTCACACAAAGGAAAAATCACTTATTAACATACTGAATATCTAATTTAATCTAGGGAGTGGAAAGGTGTTTTTACTCGCCTTTTCTTGACTGATTTTGTTGCAACTTGTCAACGCGTAAACTGTCGTTCGGACAGTGTCATGTTTTACGCTGTCAGCGTCTGTTGCCCGTCAGGACGTCCTTTCACAACATGCAGGAAATGTCGGGAAACACGACTGATTCACAACAGACGGCTTTTTCATGTCGATATTTTTGAAATCTCTGGGATTTCACCTTGCCGGCGGGAAGTTGCCGCGCAAACCATACGGAATTATTATATTTTTAAATAAGAATTTGAATTTTCGTATACTTCCGTAATTATTATCCACTAATTGACTAAATTTCGCCAGTATAGCAGCTCAGTAAATCATTGATAACTTTGACATGGGATGCAGTCACTGATCTCTATAGGCCTATAATAAATAGAGATCATGGATCAATCTTGCTATTTCTTCTAGTTATTTATCTATTTATTTTTAAAAAAAAGTTTGTTGTTGGGGAGGGGGGGGGTAATCTGAAATCTAGAATTCGTAGAGAAGTTAAGGTCATTGGCACAACCTAAAATTGTTAGAAATTGTTATAACCTTAAACACTTAAGGGCGGATCCAGACAAAACAAAAAATTTGGGAGGCAAAAAAATTGTTAGCCCCCCAAAAAGTGGGTCCCAAAAATTATGGCGTGTGGTTCGGGGCCCGCTCAAGGGCCCGAAAAGTTTTTGGACTCTAGATGCTCTGTTGTGCGATCTGAGGCAATTTTTGACCCGATGTACATTTTTTTTTAATTAAAAGATGTTGGTGTAGGCCTACACAGTGCCTGCCTCCGTCACTTAAAAAAAATGGGTTCGTTTTGTGGGGCCATTGTCCCTGTTGGTGCCCCCCCGGATCCACCCTTGATCTTAAAAGCCGAAAAAAAAGAGGGTTGTTATCGCAGAGCAAGATTTTGCCGAGCATAACTTGACCAAAAAGTTGTGACTACATAGTCACAACTTTGAGGTATAGTAAAACAAATAAAACATGGCTTATTTCGAGTGGGTAATAGATATTAGCTCTCCCTCAGTAATGGAAATTGACAAACTAGTTCCCTCAGCTTCACCTCGAAAACTAGTTTGTCAACTTCCAATACCTCGGGGAGCTGTCGGTAATATTGACTATCGCTCCTGAAAGCATTATTGTGTTTGTACAGGAGGACTAAGGGTCAACACTAAGGTTGAACAACAAACTGAGCTGGGCTGATCAAATCAACACAAATATCTCCAAAGCAAATAAAATACTGGGTCTTTTATGCAGAATTGTATACAGCTGCTCTGTAGGAGTTAGGGAGACTGCCTATAAGACGTTGGTTAGACCAAAGCTCGAGTACTGTGCAAGTTTATGGGATCCATACCACCAATGCAAGACTTAAGTTTTAAGTTACAGGCTGTGGTACTACAAGGTGAGATGTTGGCGCCCGTCATCTTCGTCATGGTTCTTGACTACGCCCTCTGGCAGGCAGTTGGAGACCACAAGGAGCTGGGCTTCACCATCACACCAAGGAAGTCCAGGGGGATTGGTCCGGTGACACTATCTGATCTGGACTTTGCCAACGGCATCGCTCTGCTATAAGACGAAATCACAGATGCTCAGGCCCTTTTGTCAATAGTAGAAACTGAGTGCAACAAAGTCGGGCTGCATCTCAATGCCAAAAGACGGAATACATGGCCTACAATGTAGCAAACCAGGAGCCACTCAAGACCATCAAAGGTGCCCTCTCACAGTGGCGGCACCAGACTCTAACATAGGGGGGGGGACAAGGAAGTATTTTTTGGGGGGGGGCAGTGAATGGTTCGGAAATAAGCCTCTAGAGCCACTTAGAATGCATGTGTGGCACGTTTCGTCTACCAAAGTACCAATGTGTATAATGCTTTCAATGGCCCAAAATGTGTCCACAGACCCATGATTCACTCTCTATCTTCAACTTATTGTGAATCTTAACAGCGAAGAGAATAAACATAATTATTATTCATAAATACCTAAGACAGTTTACGCATTCCTATTGGTCGAGAGCCCGTCACGTGGCCGGTCTTAAACGGATGATAAAGACATGGCTAGCTGGTCTTAAACACTTTTCCAGTGTCACAATAAAATGTGGACTCCTAAAAATCCAGTGCCTCTTATCGTTTCATTGGTTGAACGTTCACAATCCTCACGTAGGCATGTGCAACACTACCAGGGAGTCAGAATTTTATAGTTCTAAATTCAATACGCAACGCGCCAGGTGCGTTCTGCGCGACATCCTGCAGAACATGCTACGCGCGTCAATCTCCATAAAAGCGGTTGTTACATCTTACATCTTACATCTACACGCCAGCTGAATACTCCAATTTTGCAAGAGGGATGTTTCAAAAAGCATAAAGTGAATTTGTTGAACAAAATCGGGATGTTTTGAACGAATTATATGATTTTTTCTTACCGAAAAGGTATTTATGAATGGGAATAAATATGTGCTCCGTCGGTATTTATCACTCTGTTTAAGACTACTTAGAGTCTGGGTGCTGATAATTACCCTCGCCTCCGGCTCGGGTAATTATCAGCACCCAGACTCTAAGTGGTCTTAAACAGAGTGATAAAAACCTCCGAAGCACACATTTATTCCCTTATTTATATCAGGCTTCCAGCGGTAAAAATGTAAAACGTACCCGGATGACAGCAAAATTTGTCTGACACACCCTCATCTAGGCATTTTTGCTGGTTCCGGCACAATCAAGAGCGTAGAAACACAGTTGTCAACCACTCAACAAAGCTTAGCGCGTGGCACCATTGAACATGGACGCCCATGCAGCGAGCATGCAGTGAGCATGCAGCACAGGGGTATATGCGCACTGGTGTCAATAATCACAATGGCAGCTTCAAATAGTTTGACGAAAAAGGAGAAATGAAGACGGTGTCTTGTATTTCTTTTGAATCAAGTCAGCCTGAATCAAGTCAACCATATTGAGCTCGTTCTAAGTGAGCATATCAACTTATCCAAAATGAGTAAGATAGCGTCACTACAACTACGATTTCTCTGATAGGTAAACTGCATAGGGTCCATAAAACTAGATACAAACCACCCAGAACACTCTTAAACAATTGTTCACACACTTTCATTGGTATGGCTGTTAAGGCCACTGGTCTGACATCATTCATGAATGTAATATTAAAATCTTGGGGATAGGAATCTTCTTCTTCTTCATTCATTCATTTTCATGATGACTTGATGAGTTGGGCCCAACTGTCCCTGTCGAGCATAGTGTTAGAAAGAGATGGACCGCTCAGACCAGTTTCTAGCTCGATGGATGTTTTCAGGGTCATGTTGCGACAACCTTTTCGTCGAGGGGCTTCAGGATTCCAGAGAACTTGGCTAGCTGGCTCATTATGTTAATAAACGTGACCGGCTAACCGAAGGCGACGCTGTCTGATGATGGTGGAGATAGGGGGAAGGGCACCATACAGAACAGAGTTAGGGAGATGTTGCCAAGAAACGTTCTGAACAGCCCGCAACATCCGTGTATAGGTCACCTAAGGTGCCATCAATGGATGCAGAGATCTGTCTGGTCAGGGTCCAGGACTTGCAACCGTAGAGGAGGATATAAATAATAATAATATAGGTTTTCTCGGCTAATTTCATGAAATGTCTATTCACTTCTGAAAATCGGTTATTCACTTTCGTCTGAATTTGAATGCACGGCTTTAATCTCATATCAATTCAACGAAAGTTCAATCGTTTTCATTGTCCGTGCATTCGGTTTTGAGAAACAGACGGCCAATTAATTTTTCTGTGCATTCATTAACGCAAGCATACTTTTTCGAAATTGATTTCAGGTACGCTAATTTGATTGACAGTTAATGAAAAAGAAACCCCTAATTGTATCTGGTGCTGATGACATTAAATTAAAAGTGAAATAGAATGGTGAATTTTTGAAAATGCCCTCTAAAAGCAAAAAAAAATGCTTGTAAACGAATCTGAATGAAGCTGAAAGGTGCTGCTCAATCACTTAATTTATTGAACTGAAATGGAATCGAATGCTGTGGTAGCGAAAATGAAACACGTGTTCAGAGCGATTCTCAAATTCAGACGAAAATGAATGACCGACTTTCGAAGTGAATGAACATTTTACGACATTGGCTGGGAAAACCTATAATATTGGATGGCTTTTTTCAGGGGATACAAGAATATATTGGACTAGCTACGACAATATTGCACTCATCTTCGACTCGTGCAATTTTGTCACAGCTCATGCAGTACATTCTTGTATCCATCTTAAAGCCATCCAGTATTATATTATTTTGTAGCTTAAGTGTTGGGGGAAAAGCTGGGGGGGGCAAGGACAAAAGGAAAATGGACAAAAGGAAAAAGCTCCCCCACCCCAACCGACACTGCCACTGTCCGCTCATGCAGGTTTCTGCTCAGATCATTCATGGTGAAAAGGACATCAAGGAACGTAGTGGTCTTGCCTGGAAAGCAGTCGGGGACCACAAGGAGCTGGGCTTCACCATTTCATTTGCCCAA